TCATCATCATCACACCCTTCACCTGGTTCTGACCTATAGCATCAGATTAATAACTTACTGTAACTGTCAGTGTACAAGCCGCTACTTTTGTCTCACACTTGGTACCCCGCAGTTTATATGCAGGAGTGTGTTATTTATGTACTTTTTTCAAAGTTTATATTTTTTATTTTATTTTGAAAGACTTCCCGTCACTGACAATGATTTTCCTTTGACAGAGCTGGGCGCTCATGTGTCCCAGCACCCCACTCCTCATGGGGTCTGGCATCTGCAACACAGGGTGAACGCCCATCATGGTTTCAAATTCACCACCATAACTCCACCCACTCTGTCATCATGTGACCAGAAGTCTAACCTGAATGACCAGTGAGCTACTGTCATGGACCCATCCTCCAAGATACACGTGCACTAACGAGGCTTCCTGTTTACAGCAAGCCAAGGTAAAAAAAAAATAAAAATACAGTAAATACTTCAGATCAGTTTCTGTAGTTTACAACTCGTGCACGGAACAAACTTTGTCAAAAACACGGAGGATTTCTTATGATGCAGCTTTCAAATTAAAAGCTATCGATGTGGCTGTCATAGAAGGAAACAGCTCAAGAAGTTTGCCAGTGGGTTCTGACAGCGTGGGACACTGAAAAAATCCACTCCCATCAACAGATTTTAAAAGTCTAAACTGCTGCGGGTCCCCGCAGTGAGGGACCCGCAGTGAGGGACCCGCAGTGAGGGACCCTTGTGTTGGTGACTCATCCTTGTAAAAATGCAAATCAGACATCTACTTTAAAATGTCTTAGTGTGATGGAATCATTTTATGGGGTTCCCCTTCAGATACGAACAGATAATGGGACCCATTTTACTGGAAAACAAGTGAAAGACCGGTCAGCTGAAAAACATGTTGAATGGATTTATCACATTCCTTATCATCCACAAGCTGCTGGGCTGATTGAGAGAATGAATGGACTGTTAAAAGGAATGCTGAGAAAATTAAATGACAAACATGATTTGACTAACTGGAAAGTAAATTTGTTGCAGGCTGTGTTTCAATTGAACAACAGACCCATTGCACCAGGCACCACTCCTCTAAATCGAATGATCACGGTTTATGATACTCCAGAAAAAAGAACCAATCAGAATGTGGAAAATTGATGACAGAGCAGAGCTGCCTGTCAGAGCAACTCCTGGATCTGCTGGAATAGATCTGAGGACTCTAGAGCCAGTGACATTGATTTCAGGTCAAATTCAAGTTATAAAAATTGGTCTGGGTCTGCAATATCCTAAAGGCAGGAGAAGAAAAATGGGTGCATGTATCTGTAAACAAATGTTATATAAGAGAAAACTAATGATTCTTCCTCTATCTGTAAGCAGTACTTTTTGCCTCTACAGCTTGATGTTTCCTTGATCTTTGCTGACTGGACGGTCGGGGCCGCCCAGGAGTCAACATGGGAGAAGCTGGTGGCAGGTGCCCGTCAGATGGGAGTGCAGGCTGTTTGGGCATCACGTGCCTTGTCGGAGGCGCCATGGTCCTGATGGTCAACGTCTCATCAGCAACACCAGGACGTGTCTTGGAGGAGGATCAGGTGTTCACGTTTGGTTGAAAAAAATGCAAGCAAGATCAGAGTGCAAAGTAACTTCACATGTTTGAAACACAAAAAGCTGCCTGATAGGGCACAACTGACTGTCCTATGTACAAGTGTCGGGCACGCTACAACAACCAGTGATACCTAAGGGATGTCAGATTAGAATTTATGTGGAAACCCCACTGTGTAACATGTATAAGAACGGTACATGTAAACCAGATGAAGGAAGAAAAAAAAAGGAACAAAGTTTGACTTTACTGCCAATCAAGCAAAGGAGGAGGAAACATGCTTCGTTGGCAGTTACCCAAATTGGAGTCTGGATGCCCTCAGTAGTCATGACTCAAGAAGAAACGGCCAAAATACTGCTAAAAGAAATACACTGGCAGTTGAAGATGTGGGGGAGCACAGAAGAAGTGCTCTCCAACATAACTGAAGCTTTAAACTGGATCCTGTGTACCTTGCAATTTTTCCATGCACAGCTGCAGAAGGAGCGTTTCCAGAGGGTGGTGACCACATCCAATCACCACGAGTGGAGGAAGCTGTGAAACATTTCTAGTACATATTGGGTAGCTATAAAACCTGAATCGACAAAGTGTACTGAATATATGTGTGAAGGTTATTGGGTTCAGTATCTTGTGAGCAATGCAACTACAGCGTGCAAGTATCATGTGTTACGTGAAATTATGCGGGGCGGCTGATAAAGGAGTGGTATGTATTCTGCAAACAGGTCATGTTAACCCATGTTTAACCAAAGACGAGGTATTGTGTGATTGGACTCATGACATAAAAAGTCATCCTCAATTACCTAAGGTGCCTTTCTCTGGATGTGTGTATGGTGTACAACTGTGGACTTGGAACAACCAGACTTATCAATTATAGTTCCACCACTCGACTAACAGAGGTACAATGGCAAACTTTGCACGTACCCTGGCGAGTCTCCCTAGGCCGTTTCAAATGTGCATTGAATGGGTCTACAGAGCTGAAACGAATGATTGAATCACATAAGTCAAACGTGTCTGATCTAACAGTGTCCACCTGCATTGCTCAAGGAAAGGTTTTACATGTGGCTAAGCTAATAGAGCAAGTGTCGGCTCACCATTGGTGGGATATATTCACAGGAATGTCATCTACGGCGCAAAATATATGCAGTATCTCCTTTGCTTGTTTTGATATTATGTATTACCATATGAACATTATGTAACCTGGGCACTTGTTTCTATGTTGGAGGAGTGAAAAGAAGAATAACTAGTTTGATTTGTAACACTGCTTTATAATGAAAATAGTATTAATAATAGAGGACCATTGGTTAGGGACAAGAAAAACCACCATGACAATTGACCCTAAAGTCCCAGAGGATATCATGATATTGAACTATCATGTTAGTGGCAATGTAATTAATCATTCTTTTCAGGGTTTTAATTCCCGTTTGGAATTTTTAGATTTTATGTGTGAATCAGTCCAAGAATGGGTTGGCAGGCAATATCCTGAAGATTTTGATTTTGAAGGGAACAATTTTCAAAATTAGTCAGAAAACCAAAGGGTGGAATGAGTTGAGAGTTTGATAAAATGTCGTTTTTCTGACTATTTTAACCTGTGATATAAAGTGGGTTTTTTTGCATGTTGTTGTGAGTAACCCAAAGGCCTGAGGGGGAGGCCCGGCCCGCCTCCTCTTGTACGCTATCTGGAGGTTTTGCTCACCCTAGCTTCTCACGCTCCCTCGTTAGCTAGAGTTTTTTAAGCTTCTCACGCTATCTCAAGGGTTTTTCACAGACTTTGAGTCCAGGTGGGCATGTTGCTGGGAGACGTTCCCATGTAATGCAGAGAGTATTAAAGTGTGACACTCAGAATTAGAGTTGGAGTCTGCTGTGGATCCTGATCCGATGCCCAGCCAATTGATGTTACCTTTCTACTTGGACTGAAATGGCTCCCCAGTCGGTGTCACGGTGAGGGGATTTACATCAATGTTCGATTTGTACTGAATGTGCTTGTGCTTTGCTTCGCTGTATCTGTGGCAGTTTAATAAATGACACTTATTATCCTAGCAGAACCAGCCCGTGAGTTTTCATTCATTGCTCCGACCTTTCCCTGAACCTGTATTTTTGTTTAAGATAATTTCATAGAACACTTACTTTAAAGCAGCATCTAGAAACCAGGAGAGAAAATGGCGCTCTTCTAATGTTGAAGAATTTTATTTAACTTGGAAAGATAGTCTGCTAACGTATAAAAAAGCTCTCCGTAAAGCTAGAACTTTATATTACTCATCTTTAATAGAGGAGAATAAAAATAACCCTAGGTTTCAGTTTAGTACTACTGCTAGACTAATTAAAAGTCCCATTTCTGTTGAACCATGTATCCCTACAACTATAAGTAGTGATGAACTCATGAGATTCTTTATAAATAAAATTATTTCAATTAGAGAGAAAATTCAAACCATCCTTCCTTCTACTATCTCTAGTCCCCTGTCAAATGAGACAACTTTAAAAATTTCACTAGAGCCTGATTTATGTTTGGACAGTTTTTGTCCTGTTGAGCTCTGAATTGTCAAAAATAATAACCTCATCCAAACCATCCACATGCCTGCTAGATCCCATCCCAACCAGACTGTTTAAAGAGGTATTTCCACTAATTAATGTCCACATTTTGGATCTACTTAATTTGTCTTTAATGGATGGTTATGTACCACAGAGCTTTAAGGTTGCTGTAATTAAACCTTTACTTAAGAAGTCTGATCTTGATTCAGAAATCCTGGCCAACTATAGACCTATATCTGATCTAACTTTCATCTCAAAAATTCTAGAGAAACTAGTTGCAGGTCAGTTGCGTGAACATCTACAAAGAAATAATCTGTTTGAAGAGTTTCAGTCAGGGTTTAGAGCTCATCATAGCACAGAAACAGCACTAGTAAAAGTCACTAATGATATTCTCATGGCCTCAGACAATGGACTTGTGTCTCTACTGGTCCTGTTAGACCTCAGTGCTGCATTTGATCCAGTTGATCACAATATTTTACTACAGAGGCTTGAATATGATGTTGGGATTTCAGGAACAGCTCTAAAATGGTTTAAATCATATCTATCTGATATAAATAATGAATCTTCATCATACACCAAAGTTAGTCATGGAGTTCCTCAGGGCTCAGTGCTTGGAGCAATACTCTTTACTTTATATATGCTTCCATTAGGTAAAGTTATTAAACAACATGGGATAAATTTCATTGTTATGCTGATGACACACAATTATATTTGTCCATTAAACCCAATGAATCCAATCAGCTACTTAGACTACAAGCATGTCTTAAAGACATAAAAACCTGATGACCCTTAATTTTCTCCTGTTGAACAGACAAGACTGAGGTTTTGGTTTTTGGACCTGAGCACCTTAGGAATGAATGTTTCAGTCTTTCTTCCTCCTTAGATGCATTAATCTGTCCTCCAGCTCTAATGTTAAAAATCTTGGTGTTATTTTTGATCAGGACATGTCTTTTATCCCCCACATTAAAAACGTTACTAGAACCTCCTTCTTCCACCTGCGTAATATCACTAACATTAGAAACATCTGATCTAAAGATGATGCAGAAAAACTGGTCCATGCATTTGTCACGTCTAGACTGGACTATTGCAATGGTTTATTATCTGGGTGTTAAATACTTCTTTAAAACGTCTTCAGTTGATCCAAAATGCTGCTGCCAGAGTCTTAACTGGAGTTACTGGGAGAGATCATGTCTCTCCAGTTTTAGCTTCTCTCCATTGGCTCCCTGTCAAATCCAGAATAGAATTCAAAATCTTACTTCTAACCTACAAAGCTCTCAACAACCTAGCTCCATCTTATATTACAGACCTTATTGTTCCATATTTTACTAACAGAGCACTTCACTCTCAGACTGCAGGTTTACTCGTGGTTCCTAGAGTTTCCAGAAGCAGAATGGAAGGCAGATCTTTCAGTTCTCAGGCTCCTCTCTTGTGGAACCAACTTCCAGTTTCTGTCCGTGAGGCTGACACATTGTCCAGTTTAAGACTGGGATTAAGACTTTCCTTTTTGATAAATCCTATAGTTAGGGTCAGCTTGGGTTTCCTGAGCTGTCCCTTAGTTCTGCTGCTATAGGCTTAGACTGCTGGAGGACAAACTGACCACAATTTTCACTCTACTACTGTCTTTACTTACTCTGCTCAACCTGTTTTGTATTTGTAATTATTTTTTCTATCCTTAACATGTGTTTGTCTTTCAGGTACACCTGGACCTATATCTGTACCTGGACCTATATCTGGACCTGGACTTATATCTGGACCTGGACCTACATCTGGACCTTGACCTATATCTGTACCTGGACTTATATCTGGACCTGGACTTGTATCTGGACCTGGACCTACATCTGGACCTTGACCTATATCTGTACCTGGACCTATATCTGGACCTGGACCTACATCTGGACCTGGACCTATATCTGGACCTGGACCTATACCTGGACCTACCATTCTGTGTTCGTCTGTCTCTCCTTCCTGTCCTCTCAACCAGACGGTCAAAGCAGATGTTCTCTTGTCCTGAGCTGGTTCTGCTGGAGGTTTCTTCCTGTTAAAGGAAGTTTTTCTTTCCACTGTCTCCACTGTGCTTGCTCAGGATGGGAGACTGCAACGAAGCCAAGATTCAACTTGTCTGCTGGATTCCTTAGATAGAGAACTTTACTAACTGGCTTTTATGTGAATGTTCCTGTAAAGTCCCTGAGACAACTTGGTTGTGATTTGGTGCTTTATAAATAAGCTGAATGAATTGAAATTTTATGTCCAGTGGTTATGCTTACTGGTCGATATGTATTTTGTTCATTTTGAAGGTGTAAAGCTGTTAACACTGAAACTTCATGTTCACGTGGGATCATCACCTGGACTCTGGTGAAAGCAAGCCATAGTCAGTGAGCGCCATCAAGTGCCTGATTCTTGTACAACAAGTGCAGCACAGATACAGCTGGACCCGCAGCGTAACAGCCGGGGCGTTTTATTTATGTACAAAATTATGATTTATCTTATATTTAATATGTGCGGCTTAAACACAGGTGCGTTAGGCTGAGAATTACGGTAGTAGTACTTCCTCAAAATCCAGTTGTGTCCGACCATTTTTTAATAACCTTTGAGTTTAGATTAATGACTACAAAATCACTGAGAGTAAATTTTGTGTTTGTTGAACGTCCAGAGGACCAGACTTAATTTTTTTACATTTTTCTACCTGGATTATTGAGCAGCATCAGGAGATTCAATTTTAACAATGAATTTAAGGAAATGGGGTCAGTGTGTCCTCCAGCAGTCTAAGCCTATAGCAGCAGAACTAAGGGACAGCTCAGGAAACCCAAGCTGACCCTAACTATAGGATTTATCAAAAAGGAAAGTCTTCAAACTGGACCATGTGTCAGCCTCACAGACAGAAACTGGAAGTTGGTTCCACAAGAGAGGAGCCTGAGAACTGAACGGTCTTCCTCCCATTCTGGTGCTGGAAACTCTAGAAACCACAGGTAAACCATTCTACACCAACTAAAACCAAAAATGAGAACAAAGCCTGCTAAAAGCTAAACAAAGCAAAAGGCTAACTATTAGCTAAATGTAGCAACAAAAAAAAAGTAAACCAAGTGACTAAATGTTAAAGTGGCTGTGCCATCTTACTTTTCAAGTCGACTCAAAATGAAAAATAGTTTTAGGAACCATGAATGAAAGTTTCATCTGTTGTGTTATTCAGCCATAGAAACATTCAAACACAAGAGTTCTGCTTTTTACTCGAATGACCCGTCGACTCACATCCACTTCACTCTGTTAGCCGACTGCTTGTCGATCAGATCGATGCCTTGCAGCACGTTGGTGATGTCATAGAGTCGCCGCCGCCGAGTTCTCAAGCTCGTGGTGGCGTGTCGGAGGTCCAGTGAGTCGCTTGGTGCCTTCAGGAACAAATCTAGGAAGCGACGGGTCAGAACTCCCAGAGACACATCTGAGAACGACACTGGGCTTAGTTTAAGGCAGAACAAGTAGAATACCAATGTAGGGCTGCAACAATGAATCGATAAAATTGATAAAAATCAATGATTAAAAGCGTTGGCAACGAATTTCATTATCGATTCGTTGTTTTGCGCTATTATGCATTTTTCACGGCGCTGCGGAGCCGTTTTGTTCACCTGCAGTTCATTGTCAACGCTGACTGACTGAATAAAGTTTGAAAAAAAAAAAACTCTGCAGCGCGAGTTGAGCAGAGCGAGGGGGGAGGAGGCAGAGTGTTTTCAAAGGAAAATAAGTAAATTTTACAAATGACCAACACAGCAAAAACTGTTTGACCCAAGTCCTCCAAAGAGTGGGAGCTCTTCACAAAGATAAAAATGAGAAACGTGCAGCTTTGAAAAGTGACAACACGACACGGGAGAACCACGGAGATAAACGTAAACATGTGGGAGTCACGAGGAGGAGGAAGGAGCTGCAGCTGATACAACTCTTCATGTGTTGCAGGTGAGTCTCTACAATTTAACACTTTGTTCTGTTTCAAGAGACAAAACATAACGTCAGTCTCTCTGGTAGATGAAGCTGTTTGTTTGTTTGTTTGTTTGTTTATCTGATTAATGACGGTGATAGAGAACGTGTGTTACTTTTTATTTTATTTAATTGGTACAAGCAGTGTTTAAATGTGATTTATAAATAAATCTAACACAAAGATAATAATTTAATGATTAAGCTTCAACTTTTAATTTGCTGGCAAAGTCTGAAGACACTGCAGGTATGGCAGGATGAATTGCATTTAAACAGGAATTAAAGTAATTTATTACATCTACTCAAATGTGTGTAATTAAGTATTTTATATGTGTGTGTGTGTGTGTGTGTGTGTGTGTGTGTGTGTGTTTAATTGCTCTTTTAGCTACTTTTGCCTGAACCTAACAGTAGGTATGTTTACCATACCATACCACTTTATTTATAAAGCACTTAAAACAGCTACAAGACCAACCAAAGAGCTGTACAGACAGAACAACAGGTAACACACAAAGCAAAATACAAAATGAGGTAAATCAGAATATAGACATAAAAACGATGCAGATAATGACGACAAACCAGCGTGGAGCATACATGGACATAAGTAACCGGATCAAATGGCCGGTCGGAATAAAAGTGAGTCATGTAAACTCTCCGTTGGGGTTATTTTTTGTGTATTTGGCGCGATCCGATATAATTTGTGATCAGAACGAAACGGGTGGTTTACGCCGATTCATAACCCGATGGGTGCGCATGTAAACGCTTGATCTGTTCGTTTTTATCTGATGGTGAAAAACTGACCTGACTGTGCATGTGCCACTTTGCCATTTCCGCCTGGCTAATGCTAATAATATTAGTATGTCAGAGGAGCAAAACTGGTCGGTGAGCGACAACATTTCTACTAGAAACTCTGAAAGAGCTCAAAATGATCTGTATCACCTGCAGCTCAGTCAGGGAGTGCAGCAACGTCTCCACCATCATTTAAACCTGTCGCAGGTCCATTTTGGTGCTCAGCTTTGTTTACGTTCACCCCGGAAGTAAACTGGAAGTAGAACTTCTTCTTCTGTGGTTTTTTTAAGGAGAGTTTACCACTCTGCGCATGTCAGTACTGCTGTTCAGAACAAAGCCTGCTGCATGTAAACACTCATCATGAACAGATTGTGCCCGTGTAAACAATACATTTGAATTATTTAATCTGAAAACATTTCAATCCGGTCAAAGAATTCTGCGCATGTAAACCTAACACTGTAAGTGAAACAAGGCATTTCTTGAGTTGCTGTAAATTATACTATAAAACATATTTACTGTCTCATTCCAGAAAACAACAACAACATCCTTCATGATGGACAGACATCATGGACACCACAGCAGCAGCTGTCTTCACTGAAACATCCTGAACATGATCGTCACTGACATGAGGCCTCTGTCCATGGTTGAAGACGAAGGCTTCACTACAATAATCCACACTTTTAATCCAGGTTACAATAATCCACACTTTTAATCCAGGTTACAATAATCCACACTTTCAATCCAGGTTACAATAATCCACACTTTTAATCCAGGTTACAATAATCCACACTTTTAATCCAGGTTACACTCTTCCCTCAAGGACACATTTTACAAAGTAGCTACATACTGTGCAGGTATAAAGATACATTTGTATATATTTTTGTGTACATTAATTTTTTTAAGCTATTTGACTTTTATTTTTTATAATTCAATATTTTACTAACAGAATAGTCAAATAGCAACCTGTTTTTTGTGTGAATTGCTATGTCAGTCAAATGTCAGTCTTTTTTTCTTCTTTTTGGTTTAGTATTTTTTAATAGTTATTTTATATTGTTTAGTATTGTGTTTTTAGTGCTGTGAAGTGTCCTTGGGTGTTTTGAAAGGTGCTGACAAATAAAATGCATTATTATTATAAATGTTCAATTTTGGAATAAAGGGGTGGAAATTTAAACGTTGTTGTTTTTTGCCGATTCATCGATTTATTGAAAAAATAATCGGCCGATGAATCGATTATTGAAATAATCATTAGTTGCAGCCCTACATCAGTGTCTCCCATCTCTGAGGGATTTGACCCCCCCCCCCCCCCCCCTTAAAGCAACTCTGGACAAAACGTTTGAAAAATGTTTGTAAAAGCAGTGAAAGTAAAACCGAACGAACCTTCTCTGGGGGTCACCTTGGCTGGAATCGTGTTTTCAAACTGATGTTCGCTGCTGCTGGAAAAGATCAGAAAAGGTGAGTCCAGAGGAAGGCTGCAGGGTTCAGACTGGTCCTGGATCAGATCTCATCAGTCTTACCAGATCAGCGGACACTCTGGAGACTGAAGACCTCCGGAGCCCTGAAGGTGAGAAGATGGAAACACAGCAGGTGACAGCTCACATGGATTGGACTTACAAACGTTCTTCTTTTCGTTGTATTCTGTCAGGACTCAGATCTCTGTGAGCACTGCTCGGTACAGGCAGCCCGGCTCAGCTGATGAAAACCACCTGACCCGATGAAGACTGCATGACGACCACCAGGCAGCCCGGCTCAGAAACAAACGTTAAATTCATCTGTGGGCTGAGGAGAAATGCAAACTGAAGACATGTCGTCTTTATGACTTTGCTGTAGGGAGGTCTTCCTCGCACGTTTCCATAGCAACAAGATGGACTTTATTACTGTGTAGAGATACAGATGTTTAGTGACCTGCTGGGTGACCACATGACCCTATGAAGACCACCTGACCTGACCGCCTGACTCAGTGAAGACCACTGGACGACCACTTGACCCGATGAAGACCACCTAGCCAAATGAAGACTGTGTGACCTGATGACGACCGCCTGACCCCAAGACCACCTGACCCAATGACGATAACTTGGCTCAATGATGACCACAAGACCTGGCGGAAGACCGCCTGGTGCCTCCTGTCCTGAAGAAGACCACCTGACTGAATGATGACCGCCTGAACTGACCCGATGAAGACCATCTGACCTGATAAAGACTGCATGATGAACATCTTATGGGATGATTTTTTCATTCATTCATTCAACCTTTATTTAGACAAGTAAATCCCATTGAGCCTCGAGGACTCATTTACAAGAGAGACCTGATTTCAACAAAGAAAGATGACAACAATGGACAACAGCAACAACAATAAACAGTTATTAAAAAGCATACAGATTTTTTTACAAATAAGATGCAAAAAAGTAACAAAACAGCTAGATTCCAAGACAAACGTAGAAAACTAAAAACAGGAACATGTCAGCATTGGTCCCTGCCAGGAGTCCAACAGGTTCTTAAAGACACTTAGAGAGGTCAAAGGTCGAGAGCTTCAGATGATTTTACAAGATATTCCAGGAAACAGGAGCGGAGTAGGAGAAGGTCCTTTTGTCTAGTTCAGTCCTCACTGAGGGAACACTGCAGGTAATGATGTCCTGAGAGCGCACGCTGTAGCTGCACTCACACAGAGACATGTAGGAGGAGATGTATGAAGGCAGCAGACCAGGAAGTGATTTAAAGATGAAGATGTACCAGTGAGAGAGTCTGTGTGAAGTTAATGGTGACCAGTTAACCAGTGGATACTGGGTGCAGTGGTGGGTACGATAATCACAGCCAGTTATGAATCTTAGTGCACCATGATAGACAGCATCCAACATCTGCAGCATCCAACATCTGCAGCATCCAACATCTGCAGCATCCAACATCTGCAGGGTTCTTGTAGGAGCGTTCATGTAAATAATGTCACTGTAATCAATGGAGGGAAGGAAAGTCACAGATACAAGGTGTTTCCTAACATTCAGGGTTAGACAGGATCTGTTTCTGAAAAAGAAACCCAGTTTAACTTCCAGTTTCTTTAACAAGTTTTCCACATGGAGCTTAAAAGAGAGATGTGAGTCGACCAAGATACACAAATATTTATAGGAATCAACAAACTCAATGGGGACACCATTTGAGGATGAGATCGGAGGAAGAACTGCTGGGACCAACTTCCTGTTTGAAAAAAGCATCCCTTTGGTTTTGTCGGCATTTAGGACAAGTTTGAGGCGAAACAAATCAGAATGGATGATGTCAAAAGAAGATTGCAAAAGCTGGACAGCCTTAGTAACTGTTTTATCTAGACAATGAATCAGGGATGCTCTGACCTACATTACCTATGTAGATTGTAAAGAGGGTGGGTCCTAAGACTGAGCCTTGTGGTACACCATTATTGACTGTTAAATAACTTGAGGAAGTGCCACTATGTTAAACACATTGCCTCTGATCTGAGAGATAGTTAGAGAACCAACCAATGGTGTGTTCTGAGAAACTGATTTCTGAGAGTTTATGACACAAGATGTTCTGATCCACAGTGTCAGAATCTTTAGACAGGTCTAAGAAAAGTGCAGCACAATAATCCTTAGCATGCAGTGCTTGACCCGATGAAGATTACCTGACCCAATGAAGACCGCCTGACCTGATGAAGACCAAATGACCTGATGAAGACCACTTGACCCGATGAAGA